TTTAATTTAATCACCACGAATCTTTAAGGAGTCGGTGAATAGCTACCTTTTCTCTAGTCCAGTGTTTCTCAGTGGTATTTACCAGATGACCCCTCCTCCCCCCGTCAGGGCTTTGGTCGTCACGACCCCCCATTATCTCTACGAGAATGAAAGAAAACAGTTCGTCGTAGTTCATTAGACGCACCGAGCACTACAAAATGTTGACTCAGTGCAGACAGCTCGTGACCTCCAAGGAGGTCGCGACTCACCGATTGAGAAACACTGCTCTAGTCTATCGCTTCTAAGTTAGGGATGGCTAGTGCAGATAGCCCACGGGTAGCTTTGCGCAAAATTCAACAAACACCTCACCCCCGTACTGACTCAGATGTTACATATATCGCCCGTGGCGCCACAGCATTAGCCCTTCCCAATCATTCTTATAATGAGATGTATATACAAGTTAATAATAATTTAGGTTTTGTCGGTATCTAAGAGATAAGTCAACGCAACATAAAGGTAAACAGCTTCTATTTCTCTCTGTAAATATATATATTTATAAACATCTGTGTTTATGAATATACATATATACCTACATAATTGGACAAGTCAAATTTTACTTACTATGGATATTATATTTGATACACTAATTTGTTTTGCTCTTCCTTTCAACTTTTAGAATAATTAAAGATTACTTGATCTTTAAAATATCGATTTCATTGCTTTTGCTACTTAGAAAGTTAAATATTATCAATTATACTTTTAATATATAGTTAAATCACTTACTCTGTTTTTCTATTTTCTTATCTCCTTGTACGATGATATTTTGTACATTAACATATTTCTTGAAAACAGGTGGGAAATGTTACTTTATTAAGCACCTTCTGTAATTTATTATTAACTCTTATTCAAAGAGGCTTTTAATTTTTTTAAATTTATTTTTTCTTAAAAAAGGTTCACTTAAATTATCCCCCAGTGGCTCAGCGTAATGTCTGATGACTTATAACACTAAAAACCGGGCATCGATGCTCGTGGTGGGCACAATACAGATAGCCCATTGTATAACTTTGTGATTAACTACAAACATTCCTTTAAACTATTAAGTTGTTAAAATGAGCACTAACTGATACTGGACTTAAAATGTGGGGTTTTCACGTAATAGTTATTCAGATTTATTCTAATTATTAAATTCATAGATATATTGTACAAAAATGTAGTTTTAAGTATAGTATTTTGAATCACAATCAAAAGTGGAATTTATATGAAATAGAATCTCCCCGGTGAAATCTAGGACGTACATATTATTTTTCTATCTCCTTTATAGCATAATTGATACTTTACATTTTAACATGGAAACAACCGTTTTTTTTAATTCAATTTGTTTTGTATTTAAATTGCATTGTTTTTAAAGTGAAAGGAAGTAGAATGGAAGAGTAGTGAAAGCTATGAAACTGAAACTGAAACTTTAAATAGCAAGTAATTTCAAAAGTTATACATATCTGTTTCTGTGTGTATGCAGCTGAAGATAATCAACTTACTGTATCTGTATCAGTGGTATATGGGCGAATAGTGAGCACAATATAATTATAATGAACGAATACAATAAAGAAAAATAATAGATAGAGAAATAAATGCTTCACCAACAACTACATTGAACCAAAAACATTTGTATTTTAATTTACTTCTATTTTTTAGATAGGTGAACTGAACGAGACTATGGAGAAGGTCGAAAAAGAGGGCGTAAAAGCGTCTTTGAAAATTTTTCTTCTACAGAACATTGGAATTATAACAGGAGTTGTTGCTTTATTCATTATGGCAATGTATAGTGAAAAAATAAGTTTCAATAATGCTGAATAGTTCGTGTGTCAAGTAATGCTAGAGGTTTTCGGTCTAAATTACGATGAAAAATATAAAAGAATACTCTTGTATTTAATTACTGAGGTCGAGAAATTTCACCAGCAAGAGTTAAAATATGCTGAGAACATGGGTATCAAAATTACTTGAATTACCTTTATTTCTCTTCACTTGTTCTTATATCAAATATCCAGATCTATTTATCTTCTTAATTGCATTCTTAGTATAGTGATCGTATTGACTATTGTATTAGTATCTGACAGTTCTTCACACAGAATAGATAATTTGAAGTCTCTATTCCATTGGTATTTAATACGTGAATGTAATAAAAATGATAACTATAATTAAAATTAGAAAAAAAAAAATGCTTGAAATCCGTCATTGTTTCGCTCGTTACGTTTTCAGGTTAATGTACTCCTGAGGGGAGTAAATAGCAACACAAAACACAGCATTTTTTAATGTTTCTCTTTAAACGCAATTAGGTATACAAGAGAGTCAAATGTTTATGGAGTGTTTATGAGGGTAACTGTTTAAGTTAATGACGAAATGGTAGATAATTGTCTCTAAAACCTTGCACCTTTAAACGACGACAGTATGTTTCTGCTTTGTTGACGAAAATAAACGGATATATTATTGTTGTTTTTTTTTAGCACAAAGCTGTACAATGAGATATCTACAATCTGTCTTCCGCGGGGAATCGAACTCGGAATTTATCGTTATAGGTCAATAAATTTACCGCTGACCCACCGGGGACAAACGGATGCGTAAATCATAGACTGACCACTAAAGAAAAAATCCTAATAAATATGAGAAGACAGATTGTTTTTACCTTGTTGACGAGAATGAATGAATATGTAACTTACAGATAGCTAATTGTCTATAAAACCTGAGATGTCTGACATGATGAAAAAGACTTACGTATTGTTGAGAAGAGCTAATGATTACTGAAATGGTAGGATGAAAGCAGGTTCTCACTGACTTTTTCTATCATGATAGAGTGTTTTAATTGATATTGAAATTAAAATATTAATGCAATTATATCTAGTCGATATAGAAATTTGTTGTCACATGGTTGTTTATATCTGTTCTATTCAAAAACCTGGAATCATACAAATATGTTATTTTAATAACTTGTTACATCTTTTCGTAACGAAACACAAACTAATTAATATCGGGCATCAATGTACTGCTTGGTCCCCGATAATGGCTCTGGTAAGAGGGCCGACAGCTCGCAAGTACAAGAAAATTATTTTAACATAGAGAAAGGTACGTGTATAATTCTACATGATAACATTTTTTATTGATTCAACATTCATGGTATTGTAAGAAATTAGGATGTTCTTTATATTGGTAAAGAATTTGATATAGCTCGAAAAAATAGCACATATCTGGTCATGCTATTAGTGTTATTACTTAATGTGAAATAATGTTTCGCCTTTGTTTATCGTCGTTTTGTATTCCCAATACTGTTTGAATTAATGAGGATTTTGATTGTCTAGATAACATGTAATACTATTCAAAGTAGTTTATTGTTATTTCATTTTCCATTGTGTTGTTTAATTTTTATTTTTGTGAATCTGAACTTTATATATGCGCTATATATATTTAATTCACAGTGTTTTCCACGTTAGTAAGTTTTGGTGAACATGCGTTATATTTAGTTACAGTTTATTTTTTATTATTTAACATGTTTCTTTGGAGTTATGTCGATGGAAAAAGAACCTCTCTCATTTGAAGAATTCTGCTTTGTTGATCAATTATAACTTTAAAAATATAATACTGTCGATAAACAAATTCACCATAATACTGTTAAATAAGTGAAAATTATCTTGTGAAGAAGTCCGAACGCTAAAAATGTTTGGCAAGAATACAGTTGTAATGTATGTCGGCGTTAATTTCCGAAAATTTCTATTATTGTTAAACTGCAGCTACAAAAAAGCTATACATCAGCTAACATTTTTTCATGGTTTTCATAAAATTATGATTTTTTTCTAATATTTGTTTCGTACCGAAGTTAAAATAATAAAAGGAATTAGTTTCACCTTTAAAAATACAGTATATTAATAAAGATTTTGTTTCACTAGTCTACTAAAGACAAGTTACGTTCATTTTGCTTCAAAAATACTTTATTAGTTTATTTTGAATTGTATTTATCTAATACTTTGCTAAAATAATTTGAGGAAATGGTAACAGGCACCGAAGCAAATTAATATTCAAATGTCAGGCAGGAAGTTAAATCAATCAGTTACTAGCCTCCTGTACTGTTTCAGTTTCTATTTATCCGAGAATTCAGTTTATCTCGACTCATGTTACCAAAGAAACATGTTTATAGAACGTTAAATGTATATAATTACAGGTTTTATTTCAAATATGTTGTCAAGTCATATGCAAGTTAGTAGAGAAATACTTTTTATAAAGTGTTGAAAACTAAGCGAGAGTTTGAAATATTATAATAAACTATCTATGTTACATCTTCCTTTGAAAATAGAGTACTTTATAATTGTTCTTGGTGACGCCAAGGAAGGTAAATTTATATGTATTATAGTTGTAGTTAATAGTGACTCATGCCTTTGAACATTCTCTATATACTTTCAATAGTAATTGTATTCAAATGGATGTTGTTACTTGATTTACTTGGTATATCACTGAATAAATATTACTGTACAAACAAAACTGATCATTTTAATCTTTTATAGTGTGATGAAAACAAATAATTACCAATACCTGTGACACTAATACAGTAATGTAGGAAATTTCAAGAAAAAAAAGAGTTTACTCTGATTCTATGCAGTAATCGCATAAAACGTGGTCTAGAAAACCGTTGAGTTAGTTTCGTTCCAGTTACTTTTATTCAACGTTGTCTTCCACTGGCTGAGTAAATGATGTTTAGAAATTACATGGGTAGTATTAATCATTATGGGAAAATCCGTCATTTTCAGTTAAATAAGGACCCTTGGGTTGACAAAGTTCTGCATGAGTCAGTTGAGGGAAAGTTATCTTGAGAAACTACAATTGTTGACTGATTCAACCTAGTAGAAGGCAACAGTCCAGTGTCCTGGTGCAAGTTCACACACTATGTTTGATTTTAGATATAAATAAATTTTGTTTTACACTTTACATCACGTGTTCAGTCTGTATATTCTATCAATTTCAACTCAGTCATTTAGTCAACTTCAGGTTTACCCTGTCATTATCTCGCACGAATATACCTTTATAAATCAGACTAGTCTAATACTCTTTGAGGAAATCAGTTAATATAACAATACCACAAAATAGGTGTGAAGGATTTAGTGCTGAGTATTCTGTTTTTGCTAACATGTGTATTGGCTCATATTTGATCTCTTGAGTTGAACAAGTTTAAGGAATGCTTTTACTGAATGAATGTCTTATTCTCAAAGTAAAGGTACTCACAAGAAAGGTGCCAAGTTCAGGAAAAATTCTCTCCTTGACATAGAACTTTTATGATGCTGCAAAGGTACCCGACATAGATCAGCCTACAAATGCAGAATCAGAAAAATTGACTGATATCTGGTGTACACAGACCAACAGATCAAACCTGGCTACTAATAATTAGTCTTGATCAAAGAACGACTGAGAGTCACCTGTGCAGAATAGAACCTGGTGAGCTTGATACTTCTTGGAAAGGTTTCTATAAGACTTCTATGCTGTTGCCAGTCAGAGTGTTACAGCCTCAGCTCTGGTCAAGAGCAATCACGACCAGCTGAGAAAGGCTGGAAGTACTACTGGTGGACGATCTCTGACAGTCTGATTTGTTTCCCTGGCAGGTGAGATAGAGGGCACTCACGGGTAAAGACAGTGATTCATGGGGCAATAGTGAGTTTCTCCATTACAGGAGTGATGCTGCAATGACAGCTATGGCTCACAATGAATCCTGGAGTTGTGCAGGGTAATATATGATGAATTTCCACGAGTAATTTGTCTCTCTGCTACCCCAAACCAGGAACTGACTACTCATATGAGTGTCTGGGTCCCTGAGTATTTCTACAACTCATCAGTGGCATAATGAGCAGCATTTCAACTGAGTATTGGCCACGATCCTGCAAGGGAGAGGCTTTGGCCAACATCACATGTCTCTTTGTGTGAGGTAAAGCAATATATGGCTCATAAAGCAACCACTGTAATGGCTTTTGTGGAGCATTAGGTAAATAGCCAGCACAAAAATACAGACAGCCAAACAACTTTTGGATAATGCTTGGTCATCTACACTGGTGATTGTCAGGAATAAGAAAGGTATATCAGGGTTATGTTTTCAATTTAGATGAATAAATGCAGCAACTCACGTTGACAATTTCCCTTTATCACAAACAGATGAATGTCTGGATGAATTTGAATGTTCCCTTGGTTTAGCATTTAGAACTGGCTTCTGGATACTGGTAAGTCGGGCTGGATGATAAGAGCAGATTTAAAACTGATTTTAACTGGAGTGATGACTTGTATTAGTTTTGGATCCTGCCATTTAACTTGTGTAATGCACCCACCACTTTTGAGCAGTGATAGAGCTAACACTGAAGGGGCTGCAATGGGAGAGATGCGTGGTCTATTTCAATAATGTTTTGGTATTTGGTCACATATTTAAGTCCGTGGCTTAGAACCTGATAATGGTATTCCAATTGATAAATAAATCAGACTTGAAACTGAAAATAGGGAAGTGTGTGTGTTCATGCACAGGGAAGTGGACTTTCTTGGTAACATTATTGAGAGAAATGGCATCTAGAGACCCTATTAAGATAGCCATCTCAACCTATAACCAAAAAAGAAGTCCACAGTTTCTTTGGTCTTACATCATATTATTGATGATTTGTGGCCAACTTCTCCAAGATAACTGCACATTTATATACTTTAAATAAAATTGTGTGCACTATGGATGAGGAATGTTACCAAGTATTCTGATTCCTAAAGCTTGCTCTAGTGGACTATCCAATACTGGCATATCCCTGATAAGGGAGCGAGTTCTCTCTGAGCACCAGTGTCGGTGATAATATGTCATTATATTTTTTAACCTACGCACTTAACTGAACTTTTGACTAATTGAAATTCATCTAACGGCGCATTTCAATCGGGGTTTTTAGTGTTTAACTTTAACCATGATCAGTATTTTCATTTGACTAGCCAGTGGTAACCTTGTATTTTGTGTTATTTCTGAAATATGATTTTTCAAAGGTATTTCAGTTACCATTAACTCCAACTCTGAATCTAATGAGTTTCTCCAGGACGCTCCAGACCTCCTGTACAGCAAGGTAGCTAATGATACTGATACCAAATCTAGGATCCACGAGCTGGCCTGATATTTACTGTGGCTGATCCCATGAATGAAAATGTGTTTCTTGCCAACGCATCAGACATGGGAGAGCTCACCACATCTGACATTGGGTTGGCCTTGAGGCCACTAGGGGCTGGGTAGGCCCATTTTATGGCAAAGGGTCCAGCCATCACTAAGCCTTAGGATGTTCCAGTCTTTGAAGACATAATTTTGGCTACTTCTACATTGATGCTTGAGGAATTAGCTTTGCAAGTGGCCCAGCAATTTTGATGCCACCAAAGGAGGAGCCAGTGGTGGAAACAAAGGAATGGAACCAAATGGTCAATTTTCCAGTCAAAGGTTGCATCATCATGACTCGTCAATGGTGCCAGATATGCTCTCACTTTCAATACTAGCACAATATTTGTAATCCCAAGAAAAGTTTTACAGAGTTTAGAACTTCTTGACAGCTGATCGGGTCTTGAGAAAGTAGTAGTGGAATGGGTCTCCAGACAATGACTATCACTAATGGTGCTTCAACTACAAAAGTAGGAGTCACCACAACTAAAACATCAAAGGTGATCATGAATAAACCTATGATAGAGCAAAGTTTACTGGTGAAAGGCCTTACCAAAGCCCGAGATAATCAAAGACCAGGACAGATGCAAAACACAGGACAACGATAGTCCTGGAAAATCTGCTAATAGGGTTAAGGTGAGAGGAAGCAAAACCTCAAGTAAATATTTTGGATATGTATGATTATTGTTTCTTAAATTGCATATATTGTGAATATTATTGCTTTTTATTTTATTGCATTAATTTAATCTATCAATATTCATTTTGTTTTGTATTTTCTTTCATTCTTATGCATTATGACAAGGTATTTTTCACCACATGCATTTTGAATCATTACAGTTGATGGATTTAATTTTTATGCTTTTGTTTTATGTTATTATTGATTTGCTCCCTGTGGTACAATGGTATGTCTGCGGACTTATACCGCTAGAAACCGGGTTTCAATACCCGTAGTGGGCAGAGCACAGATAGCCCTTTCTGTAGCTTTGTGCTTAATAACAAATAACAACAATAATATTGATTGATGGATTTTATTTGTCATAGGTATAAAGGTATAATTTGATTATGTTGTTTCATATTATTTCTTAAAAGGGTTTTTTTTATTTTCTTGTATGATATTCGTTCTTGAAGGGTTTTTTTCATAACTTAAAAGTGTATTTCATTTGGTACATTTCTCTAAAAGGGTTTTCATCACATCAAATTATTGTTGGAAAGTTTTGTTCTTTGTAATGCATGTCTATGTTTAATTTACTGTGGGTGTTTTTCGTCTCATTATGTATTAAATTATGGTATTTCTTAAAAAGAGTTTCTTTCTATTTAATTTTGCTCCCCAGTGGCCCAGCGGTATGTCTGCGGAGTTACAACACTAGAAACCGGGTTTCGATACCCGTGGTGGGCAGAGCACAGATAGCCCATTGTGTAGCTTTGTGCTTAATTACAAACAATCTATTTAATTTTATAGCACAGTATGTTAAACTACCCCATCTAAAGGGGGTTAGGTGATCGTTTTTCAAAAGTTTCAGTTCATTTACTCTAATCTTTATATACGTATATAAAGGAGGGTAGGTCATCCTTGTT